CATGCCCATTGCGTTTGCCCATTTTTATAAAGGTAACCCCACATGTCCAGGCAGGCTCAGTGTACTAGCAGACGTAGAACAGGGTTTTACACTCATCAGGAACACAGACGAGATGCAGAATGTGTGAATCCCCGAACTTCAGCATCCCCGCCCTTGGTGTTTTATGATTGCTTGGCCTAATTAGCCAAACACAACACACCTGATCTAGAAGGGTCAACCTGGAGACAACCGCAACAAAGCTTGGTCAGCAGTGCGCCACCTCCTGGGAGTCATTTGCAACTACACTCAGATGATGACGTGTAACGGTTCTTGGGGTCTCCGCCCTTGGTTTTAGAATTTTTTTATTTTAATTTTAGAATTTGCACAGGTTCACAGTTTGAGCTCTGCCTATCTCATGCATTTTACACTACGAATGTATTAATTCCACAAAATGAAGGACCCAAAAAAATTACAATACACAATTGTTACTGATAACCCTGAAAACCCCCCAAAATTACAAAAGATGGGAACAAGATCTCATAAACGGAGCTATTAGTGTTTAAAATGAAAAGGGCTACGTTCACATCAAATCTGTTAAATCAAGTCAGGATCCAATTGAGCAAAAAGCCTGGCTGTACTAGAAAAGGCATAGAAGAGGAGAAAAAAAAGGGTGAGTTTCAGTTATTGATTTTATTAGGATTTCTACAAGGTATACCAATTATTTAAAATTAACTATAAAAAAACACATTAGCCAGATATAAACCCTCCCCAGAATCACAGTCACTTTCACCCAAAACCATGGAAAAAATAAATAAAAATGTTTTCTTGAAACTTCAATGTTCTTAAATACATCTGTAGTACTGCAAACTACTGCAAAGCCCATTAGCAAGCAGCTTCACATTATTTTTTATAATACTACAGCGTAGTGCCCTCGCCATCTATACAAGTAGACAATAGTTGTTTGCATTTTAAAACTTTTATTAAAAAGATTTTTTTTGTATTTAATAAGACACACACATTAGAAAAATACCGTAGTTTACAAGAAAAAAAAATAATCACAGGCATTTATATGCTGCTAAAACCGGTCCTACTCCTATATGGCACAAATGTCCAGATCAGAAAACATCAAAGAAAGTTCAGTGACTGGCTGGAACTACTTCAGCAAGTTTCCTCAGTGTCTTAATCCCCCGATCTTTTTCTCCTTGAAGAAAGTCACTGATTTCCAAGAAATAGGGGAATAGAAACTGCATAATTAAGGGAATGGGAGGGAGGGGAACTGTTGAATTAAATTCAAACCTCGGAAACGTTTAGTCCGCGTCACATTATGCCTGATTTATTAACGATTTCTCCAGCCAACAGGGGGCAGAGAGGCTGAAAGAATTATCTGATGCTCAGTCTGTCCCAATAAGGTTTCAATAGTGTCAGAGGTGAAGCAGGTCACCCTGCCCTGTGCAACAGCTGGAACAGAACGCTTGAGCTGTGTGGGGTGCAGAAAGCACCCTTATAGCGTCACAGTGGGGGCACACACTTCCATTTAGTGCTAAATCCCAGAGAACTTGTTTCTCAGTCCTGTCACAAACTTGAGAGCCGTGTAAAATCGAACTGCACAAGAGTGAAAGCACCCGGCCGGGTTATTACAGTCACTGAAACGACCCCAATTCCTTAGGCTACACCAGCTACACCAGCACTCGCCCTTCCTAAAAAAGGCACCAGCGGGAGAAAGCAAGAGCCAGATTTGTTGGAATCGGACCGGACCGGCAGGAGGCTGGGCTCAGGCCCAGGTTCGGTGGGCAGATCGTTTAAGTCCCCTGTCTGTTTTCTTCAGACGGGCGCTTTTAATGACTGCGATTAACCGCTCAAGTCATTGGAAAAGCGACTATGCTGAAGGAGGTGAAATTGAGCAGGCAGAGCGATTCTGATTTTTAAAACAGCAGCCCGGTGTACCAAAAAGGGCGAGATCTGTAGGTGCTGAGGCTGATAACATGAATCGTTGCGGTACTTCAATACTAGAATAACTGACATTTTCACTGTTTCACACAGCCTCTTGTAGAACAGTACAATACACATCGCAGCTTAGAGCAGTGCACCAACTTTTACTCTCCTAAACCTGGCTAGGACATACCCTCGTTAAATCCTTCTCTACCTCATTCTGCATTTCCCCGTTAAGATGTCATGTTAATGACCTAAAGGGCAGATAGTGTGAAAGTAATCTGATGTCTCATACAAACAAAAATAAAGTTAAACCCCAAAAGCAACACCCCCCCCCCAGCCCCAAAAGGTTTCAGTCCGTGTGGTCTGGAAGTGCGCTGGAGAAGATGGAGCTGGAATCCCTCTCCGCTGTGTGGATACGGGTTTAGACAGGACGGTAAAGAAACTGGAGGCGAGGGGAGAGAGGGAGGGAAGGAGAGATGGGAAGGGGGGGTTTGATGATCTCCTCCAGCTCTAGGTTATAGCAGACAACAGTGTGCAGGTGGAGGAGGAGGCAGTGGACTCCTTCCTAACTGCCCTCAGGCCCTGGGGATGTCTGGGATTGGTGGGGAGGGTAGGACAGTAAGGAATAGGGGAAACCACAGCTGAAGAAAAAAAATGCCTGAGATCCTTCCGTGTCTCGCTCTGCTCCTCACCCTGCTCAGTGAGAGAGGGGGTCAGTGATTGATCAGGTAATGACTGGAGGAGGGTCTAGAGCTCATCGGAGGGGGAATGAGGAAAGGGTCAAGAAGGATGCTGGAGCAGGAGCCAGGTCAAGGACAAGGGGGTTTAAAGAAGGGGAATGCGAGAGGAACAGCAGGATAACTTTCCTCTGTAAGCAACAGGGAAGGGCAGGCAAGTCAGGGCTGTTTCCCTGATCTGTTCCTAGAGTGCAAGAACAGACGCGATTTTTGATCCAACCAGCAACTCATCTACATTCTCAGATCTTCACTGCTCACATAATGCACAAAACATGCACGTGCCCTGTGTTGAGGACATGAGAGAGCTTTGCTTGCAGGGTAAATCAGTGAAAGTTTTTAATTTAAACGATTAGGTGGCTGGTTCAAAACCCAGGGCCAGATCTCGGAAACAGGGACAGGGAGAAGGACGCGTCAGGAGAAAGATGAAGCCACGGGAGTCATGGACGGGGCAAGAGTGAGGACAGGGCAAGAGTGAGGAGGAGGATGGAGGTCAGGATGAAGAGTGAGGGTCTTGAAGTTCTTCCTCACTGGCCGCCTGGCTTCTCTGCGCTGCTGGGAGAGGCAGGGCTCACCATGGTGCTGAAAGGGTTGATCTCGTTGGTCTCCATGGCCTGGTACACGAAGAACAAGAAGCCTGCCACCGCCATGAGCAGCAGCAGCTGCAGCCACACGGGCAGGGAGCGGCGCGACCGAGACTGGCCACCGGATGGCGCCGTCAGCTTGGCCGCGCTGCTGGAGGAGGAAGAGGAGGAGGAGGAGGAGTACGACAGGGCCGGAGGAGCAGCCGACAGCTTGCCCGCTCCCCGCTGCACAGCCCTGCGCTCGGTGTAGACTGAGGTCTCGGTGAATTCGGTGCGGCGCAAGATGGAGTCGTCGAGGCGGAAGTCGCTGGGGTTCAGAGGTCGCCCGGCTGCACCGTGGATGGGTCGGCGGCAGGTGGCGCTGTGGTGCACACGCAGGAGGAGAGGCACATGGAAGGAGAGAGAAAATTACCTACTTGATACGTCAATCTACACTACCAGCAAGACGAGTCAAATGGCTGCCCAAGCTTGTTTTGCTTTCTCACCATGAACTTAAAAATGATTTCACAATCGCCTCGACATTTTAAAGGCACTCAGGGGCAGCTTGAGCTCTATTGTTGAGGCTCTGGTGGTCCCAGCCTAGGCTACTTCATTGCCCAGCTGTTCCCTGGACTGCTCAAGGGCAAACCAATGCATCCTGGGAAAGTACATCCTTCCCTTGACGTTACCGATTCTTGTGCTATTGGGCGATGTCATCAGGCTACAGAGACGCCCCTTTACAGAAGACAAGCACTAGCGAGCCGCACTACAGAACCGTGAGGCACTAACGTGCACAGCCCTGGTCTAACACACAGCGGACACACTCATCGCTCATACAGGTGGCAGGCCACGCCCTGCGCATCAGAGATGTCGACCAACTAAGAGCTGCGAATTCTTCAATCTGGAGCGAATATTGTTGGGAACACTTCGTCGAAAAAGAAATGGATAAACAGCAGACATTAACAGTTGCTTCCTTCTGTTAGCAGCAAAATGAAAACTGTCCCAAAAGCACCCTCCACTATTACTGTCAAAATAACACAAACGCACTCTACATAAGAGGGAAACTGAGAAAGGTGGATTTTTAAGTCTGAGACAACAGATTTATCTTTTAGGTTAAGCTATAGTCAAGGCTTCTCTTTTTTCTTCATTCTTCCACAATGCACCTAATTATATCTGGCTTCAAGAACTTGAAAATAAATCAGGATAACATTTTACTGAAAGTAAAACGTGAAAATGAGCTTTATGCTCGTCGCAAGGGTAAACTCCCAAATTAAAGAGTTTAGCAATTAAACTACATTCCCATCCCTTAAACGTGCTTACGGGAACTATTTTCCATTGAGCTCGGGTTTAGCCGTGTTTACAGAACTGGGCTTATGAAGACACTAACGTGATTCCGGTAGGAGTCCGCGGCTCATAGGGAAACATCTCCTCCAGAAGGTCCTTCGCCTCTTTCCTCCGGACCACGTCTCCTGCTTCCAGCCTCTCTTCCACCTGCGGAGAGAGGGGAGGGAGACGGGAGTGAGAGAGGAGGGGGAGGGAGAGGGAGACAGGCGAGGACATTGCTCTGTGTGCAATATCCCTCATGCGCCTGGGCACAGACATCCAGGTGTGCCCACAGCCTGGAACAGGAGCTGGGAGAAGAGGATCCACACCGAGAGGCTCACCACAGTGACCAGAGCCTACCCTTCGCAAAAGCAGCCCTCACCGTGTAGGGAGCCACTAGACCCTTACTCACCCACCAAGAAAAACACAAAAACACCCGTTGAAACACTCGTATGTTCCAGAGTCCGTTACAGGCTATGCCCATCTCAGCTCGGTGACGGTCAAGCACAGCGGCTGCAGGCTCAGGGAAAGGCCAGTCTGCATGCATTCGCAGTGCGGCGCCCCAGCCCGCGCTCAGCCATGGCGAAGCAGGATCGAGATGGGCAGCCCCGACAAGGAGCAGCGCACAGAGAGGGGGCGGGGGGCAGGGGAGCACGCCGATTCTACCCCAGCCCTGCAGGATGGGCAGGCAGCTTCACCGAGGCCAGAGCTTGCACGAGACAAGGAAGCAATGGAACAAACTTCACCAAAAATGAATGCCATTCTGCTACAGCGCCATTAAGCAATTCTTTTGCAGTTCTCCCCAGAACACTGCAGCGGAGCTCTATCGAGGTCCGGGAGTACAGCTACTTGGAAGGTTGAGGGTAATGGTGAACCAGTCCTCAAAATTAGAAGCAAGTGAGGGCAGGAGGGGGGGCACCTGCATACCGCATGCTCCCCAAAACCCAACACCACCCCACGTGTCCAGTGTGGCGATACTTTCCTGAGGCCTGGCCGGGGTGCAGAAGGCTGAGATTTTCTGCTGCTTGACCGTTGCCTTCTGCAATGGGGTCACGCGTGATTCTGGGTACTCTATTTCCTGCCAGGTGGAAGGGGAGGGAAGGGCCCACAGTTTAGATTCTCTTGCTGACCGCCTGGCTTTTATGCTCAAAATACGGTCCCCGCGTTGCACTGTGCTCCAGCCCTCCCTCAGTATAAGAGCAGGGATGGTCAGGGAGGAATATACCGTACGTCAGTCCCAAACAAGAAAACACGAACCGTCCAATCCTCAATGCAAATATAATTCAGATTGGTCCTGCTGCATCTGGTGACAACTTTACTCACTGTTCACATGAAGCTCCCACTGTATTATATCATTCATTTCCATGTAACACCAATGTGTAGAAAATGCACTGAAAGTAGTGCATTCACCTGGCATGGGATTAGGGAAATCCATCTTCTAGCCGATTCATCGTGGGGGAGCCTGTCCCAGCAAGCAATAAGGGACAAGGCAGGACACACCCTGGATGGGTTGCCAATCCTTTGCAGGGCACATGCCAACACACCAGGGCCAACTCACCTACCAGCATGTCTTTGGACTGTGGGAGGAAACCCATGTGAACCCAGGGAGAACATACAGACTCCACACAGACAGCACCCCAGGTCCAGGATTGAACCCAGGTGGGGGTCTCTGGGTTTAATTCCAGACCCAGGGGTGCTATCTGTGTGGAGCTTGCATGTTTGTGCGCTGTGAGGCAGCAATGCTAACCACTGCGTCCCAGGGCTGCCCTCCGTTCCACTATGATACAGGTATGCCTTTGAAAATGATCCTATTTGTCAGCGGTTGGGTGCGCAGTAGGATCCAAGATCAGAGGTCTAGTCCCCACAGTGATGCCGGGGTGGGAGGAGCACAGAGCAACAATACAAGGGTTTTGGGGGTGAGGTGGGTCACCTCCTGCAGGAGTGCGGTGTTGTGCAGAGAAATTGGCTTCACAGGAAAACGGGCCAGGCTCTCATCATCATCATCATCATCATCGTCATCATCATGATCGTCAAAGTCATCTTCCTCCTCGGGCGGCTGCAAACAAAATCTCCCATTCAGCATCTTCATCGTGAATTAGACACTGATGGGGCCTCAGCGGGACCCGGCGGAGAGGCGTCCTGTACTGTGCAAGGGGGCTCAGGAAAAGCCCTCAGTTTGATCTCGTCTACCGTGAGAAAGCTCATCTCCCAACCCCGCAGGCACTCCGCACGGGCCTGGAGCACACACCCTGCCTGACGTCACCCCCAGACCAGGACTCAGCCAGAGGATAACAGGTGACAAAACACCCCTTCCTCCAATGACACACCTTATAACTAGCAACAGGAACATATCAAGGAAAATCGTTTTTTTGAATCTTTTGTTGAAAATGTGAACCTTTTGCTGTCAATAGGGATGAGTCATCTACAAGAGGTGCAGATAAATAGACAATAAAACCCAACCAGTCTGGAACAGAGGCCAGTCACAGGTGTGCCACAGCATTTTGGAATAGCGGTACTCCATCTCTAGGAGGTGATTTTTAAAAGTAGAAACTGATTTCGCTCAATCATGATCACTTTGTTTATTAGTGGAACAACAACTTCAGACACCAGGTACGTTTCTGCCCACAGCTGGGATGACGAGCATGCCCAGTTCCTCGCTACTCCGGTAGGGAGTCATTTCGCTGGCAGGACACCGCAGATCTTGCCTTGCTGAATAAAAATGGCAGTTATGTGCCCTCCTCCACTGCAAAGCTAGCAGGTCAACTCTGCTGACAGAGCTCCTGCGCTAAGCTCACACCGTTCCCACCCGCAGGGAGCGAGCGAGCGAACCTGGGCTCAGGACAGCCAATCGCCTTGCTCGGCCCTCGATGGTCACCCCCGCGGGAAACCTCCGATGTGAGCCCAGCGCCGGCAGGCACACAAAGGACAGAGCAAAAGCCGTTCCCCCGCCATCGTGCTCAGTGATCCCATACAATACACCCAGGTGCCCAGAACGAGAACACAGAACTCCTGTGCCCCCCCCACCCCACACACACACACACACGCGCACGCGTGCCGCCACCAGACAGCTAGAGCGTTTACTTCCTCTCGGCCTCGGGGCGACCGGCGGGCAGCCGGCGGCTCGGGCGCCTGGCCGAGGAGGACCTGTCTGAGGATCGCGGAGCTCGTGGAGCCCCTGGCCTGACACGCAGGGGCTGAGCAGTGATGAGGCTCCTGGGACAAGATGGGGGCGAGAAGGTAAGTTAGAGGGCAGGGGAGACGCCCCCCCAAGACCCCAGCGGACACCCCACATTTACTCTGAGTGAGGCAGCAAAGGGAAAAGGGGTTTAGCGCTGCCTCCTGTGAACTAAAAGGGGCACTCTTCATCAAGTACCTGGTGTATTACTCTTTCAAGTTAAACCAGTATCTTTCAGGGGACACAAATAGGATGTTTAAATTTTAAATGAAGTTTACATCATGAACAAAGGCTGATTTGCTAATATAGAGGTATACATTTAAAAAATTCACCTAAGCAGGTCTTCTAACCACTGTCTACTGATCCCTCTTTACAAACAGCACTTTGGTGCCACAATGTTCATATGGAAGATGGGAGGAGCGTCTAGGCGATAAACTGCAGTTTCCTTGACAAAAGCCCCAGAACGGGGATCGGCATTCTCAACCACAGTACATGACGTTTGTTAGCTGTGAATCTGCAGGGCAGGGGTGCTTTTTGCAATTTGTGCGGCAGGTTTACTCCTCAGCCACAAGCAACATGACTACTTCTTAAAGAGCCTCACTTTCCAAACGAGTTCAACCATCGAAATGCATGGAAAGTGGAATAAACAGAAACAACTGCCAAACATTTACGCAAACATTCAAGTATATAAACTATAAAATATAGTATACAATTCAGTATATTTAAATATTATAACCGTTTTTTGTAAAACCACTGAAAATGTCCCCTTGCACTGCTGTCTGACCTCTCTGCTGCTGTGTCCCCGAGCTCTATCACCCTCCGGATGTGCATCAGAAATGGAACCCCGTTTCCCAGGAGTTCCTTGAGTTAAGTGGGGGGAGCCCCTTTGCTTGGTCTCCAGCGGTGCACCCCGTTTTGGGGTTTCGGGGGCCCTGCTCTCTTGGGACACAGACTCGCAGGCCGAAACCTCAGACAGGTCCTGGGACAGGGAGCAGAGAGATATTAGGAGACATTTTTTTGCCTGGGCAACAGGTCAAGGGCGAGGGAACGTCACTTCAAGCGCAGGTGGGGGGTGAACACCACACTTTTGGGGACACCACTGGCTTGACCTCTGCTCCCTCGGCTCTCTTTTTCAGACCTGAACTGATTCTCTTCCTCTCTTGACACTTAACAAGCCGACACTGTGGCCACGTACAGACCTGGTGAAGGACACATTGCAGCCAGTGTCATGTGCACTACAGTCTAACCCTCCTCTGGCAGGCCATGTGAGTATGAGCTCCTAATCTGAGCGTTTGGACTGCAAAGTTATGTCAAAGGACATCAGACTGCAGTAAGAAGCAGGACATTGGCTGGAGTTCCTCTTCCAAAGAACCTGAAGTGAACTGTGCCCCACTAAAACTAAATCTCAGCCACATTCAAGGTGCACACTCAGCGAAGTTGTCTTTGGCACACATTAAAAAAAATTAAAAGTCCCACTCAATGCTTCTTCTCATGACAGTCATTGCAGTCAAACTGTTATACTATAAATGAACCATGTATAAATGTATAAACCTTACACTTTTTTTTTTTTAAAGGTGCACACCTTGTATAATCAATCTTAATCTTAACCTAGTAAGCTCAGAATATTCAACACGGGTGCAAAGACACCTGTCAGGGCTTTGGAGATGCCCTTAAACAGTTCAACACAGGTAGAGGATCTCCAAATCCAACAATTCTTTGTCTGAAGTATTTTAGTAGAGTATTTTTGCATATTTATCCTTAAATCCTTTTGGCCTGGGCGCACCCCTGCATCAGAAGATCAGCGTGCCAGTGTGGAGAAACTGTTTTCCCTCAGGAAAACCGAAGGGAAGCAGCCTTAATAATACTAAAAGCCAAGGAGGACTACTGGCTTCTGCGCCTCATTTCCTGTAGGTCCGAGACTCAAGTGTTTGATGACCCCAGCATCCTAAACCAGCACTGATCAGTGCATGCCGTGTGTCCAGAGCAGCCAGAGTGAGGTGTCCCATTCACCTTATGTGTGGTCTGGAGGTTTCAGCTCAATGCACTGGTGGCACAGACGCCTGTGGTATTTTAGCAAACTGGCCCTGAAAGAGTGAAGCTGTGCAACTGTTTTGCACAATGTTTCAATGCCTATGGATTATTTACCAGCCCTCTGATGGTGCACCTGGATCACTACGAAGCACACATTACCTGGCTTCGTGTGGGAATGTACTCCTGAATTGTTCGAATCTACTCTTGCTTATCTCATATTTGAACACGGCTGGGCTCCGTGCCTACTGTGGCCTAAAGCGCAGACCTTCCTGGGAAAATACCTCTCAAGCTGTCAAGTCACGCACAGCGTTCAAGAGCCGAACTTTGGGGAAAAAGAAGAGCTCCAGTCTAATACAGTAAAGGCTCGAGCGTGTCTGAAGTCACACCTGTTCTCTCCGAGATACCACAAGACAGACGGATGCTGACAACCGACCCCCAGACCACAGAGCAGTCAGATTGCTGCTGCAGAGCCCAGCCCAGCAGGTCTCCCCCCGTGGTCTGCGGACCCCCCAGTGCTACTGCAGAGGCTCCCAGACAAGACGTGCGACACGTGATCGGATTGAAGCCCTCCAACCTGACATCCTGCGGTTCACGTCAGAGAGACGGCACCAGCCTGCTCGCGCGCGGGCCCGGTGAGGTTCGAGTAAGGAGCTGCGTCAGCATGCACGGGCTGCAAAGCAACAGGTGAAGGTGAATTCCGTGCTGAAAGGAAGAGAAAAGAAAGCGCTTCGGCTGTGGAATCACACCCGGAGAAGACTCCACGGCCGAAACGTTGTTTCTTTTCTTTTCAGCTTGGAACAGACCTTGACCTTCACAAATACACGTCACGGTGAAGGATAAGGATGCACAGGTGCGCGAGCAGCTCGTGTTACAGGGTGCAGGTACCACGAGTCTCTTCCTTTGTTCCTTGCTACTGCGCTGGGTTTCCAGGGGTGACAGAAGTACTGCTGGGAGCAGTAGGAGGCGATCATCCAAGCGTTTGGAAATTGAGGAGGGGGGTCCGCACACTGGAGAAGGGTTGGGAGCTGCTGCCCTGGTCGCTTCCTGTGTGCAAACCCATCCCCTTGTCCCCAGTACTCAGTCACCAGGTGTCCCCTTTACCCGTGCTGCATCCACCAGGGACAGAGACAGAGAAACTAAGCCACTGCAGGTTTTACAAGCTTCAGGCTCTTAGACAGACTAGTACTTACAGCGAGGGGTCTCCAACACTGGGCTTGGAGAACCCCAATCTGTTTCTAAAGACTGGAAACACCTAACGATGACCGATCAATTAAAACAGTAATTGGATCAATAAAGAGAATTCTGGTCCTCTTAAGCCTGAGGGGTATTCAGATATCGGTCACAGATCTGGAAATTACTCCAATCTGCTTAATTGTTCGAAGTCTTCGGAAATGAAGCCTGCTGGAGCAGGGAGGCAGACTCCACGCTCAAGTGATCTGTTTACGGTCAGGCCTGTGCACTTGTGCTGGCAGGGAATAAGACGACGAGCACAAAACGTCCCTCAGCTGGTATTAGCTTCTGGACAAGAGCCTGCTGCCCATAAACCCCTCTTCCGCTGTGGGGGCCCCACTCCTGTGTTGTACACCCACCCCGAACCTTCGGGGGGAAAAAGCTCAGTGCTCGGGGGTGAGGAGGAGAGGTGGAGAACGAGAGAGAGACAGAGAGAGAGAGAGAGACGGGAAACTGGGGGATTACAGTGTCGTCACTGGCTGGCACGGCCTGGTCAAGCAGGGCAGCTCGTCTCATCTTCCTCTTCACCTTCAGGACGCCCTGTTCGCGCTCTTCTTCGTTCAACCCCTCTGTCTTTCCCTCCTCCTCGCGGGTGTCGACACTCTGCACACACAACACACAAGCGCCTCTCGCCAAGAGTGACATTTCTACAGGATGCCCCCTCTAAGGCAGCAGGCAGGGAGTCACTGCTGTTTAATGACTAAATCCATTTACAGATGACCTAGAACATACTGTATAATAACTGCTGGCAGCTCTGTAGCCCTTTTCACCCACATCGAAACAAAAGTACTTTATATAAATCGGAGGAGGCCCATCTCCATCCATCACTGAAGTGCAGCACCTCCCTGGGTGACAGGACAACCTCCTCACTACCTGATTACAGATCAAGTAATGAACGAGCTGAATTAACAGAGAGCTTTAGTAAGGCTAGACTGTATGATTTAGTCTTTTAGGGGGGATTCGCACTCATAGGTGCTCAGTCATAATCCCACAGAAGGCAGCTTCACACCACTGGCTCTTCAGCCAAGCACAATTACCAGATATCTGAACGGTTCCTTTTGGAACGCAGCCTGGACACCAGGGTGATCACCCCTGCTGTTACTACCAGCGCCTTGGCATCTTTAATGGCAGTGAGGACCTTGGTGCGTCTCATCCATACACAGCACCTGTTCCGAGAAAAGACCGCCACCTGCTGGCCTGCTAACACTACTGACTTCTGTGCCCCGTTTTCCTGTAGTTCACCTATCCTGTTATCCCCTACAGGGGGGATAACACCGCTTATTTTTAAACAAGCTTTTCTTTAACATTAAAAAAAAACACAGAGGAGGCTGAGAGGTAGAAGGAAAGGCTCTCGTAGCACTGTTGGGAGGGGAGAGTGATCAAAGAATTTCTCTCAACTCAGAAAGTCAGTCAGTTTCACGGACAAAATAATCCATTTTACAAAGCTGCTTATTTGTCCCGTTGCGGAAATCGGAAAAAGCTCAAGTCGGGCACTGTGTCAGCACACGTAGGCTGCAAAGGAATAGGTAAAGGTTTATTCCATGCTGAAAGGTAAAGAAAAAGACAATGTTTCAGCTGTGAAGCCTGAAGAAGTTTAAACTGACACCAGAAGAAGGCTATTTTTTCTTTTCCTTTCAGCATGGAATAAACCTTTACCTGTTTCTTGAAATCAGAAAAAACGCCGCCTTATCCGATCTCAAACTCTTCCCACTTCAATGGCAATGTTAATAAAAACTCACCCTTCTTTTGTACAACAAAGATCAGAACTCAGACTCCTGTGTCTCCTCCCATAGACACGGGAATCTTTATACAATGGAATGGATTAGACTCGCTGTCCCTGGAGAGCTCAATTCACCTGTCTTCATCAGCACTCTCAGCTCCCTTGGACTGCAGTCCCTGACAGAAACACCAGGTGGCAGCACATAACCACACACCATGCGCGTGCTGTAGTTTCCTTGTGTTCAGAACGATTATCAACAGCACATGCGGTTCTCTACTTTTCTCAAAGTCAATGCATCACATAACACCTCATAATAAAACAACCAAAACTCAAAACCTGAATTCTATACAATTCAACTCAAGATTGTTTCCAGGAACTAACAATGAAGACAAGGCGCCTTCAGGTACACGCCATTAGAAAAAAGAGCTAGTGATGGAAGCCATGTCAGCATGGCTCACATTGAACCATCAAGCAACATCTTGAAGCGGCTCCCCAGTTTCTTGTCAAAGTGCCAAACACCTGCTGTTACACGATCTCCAACAGATGTGAGGCTCTAAACTGATCCGGAGCTTAAGCAGGACATTTCACCGGAACAAAAGCTTTATTCTTCCATGCAAACGGCAAAACGGGCCAAGCCGGGCCTGGTCCGCATCGTCTCGGCAGGAGCACCGCGCCTTGCCCTCCCCCGCAGGGCCCGTGGAGCAGCCTGGAGCCCCCAGGACAACGGAGGTTAAGGGGGCTAATCATCCTTCTCAGTGGACCTCTGGGCCGAAGAGCTCCTCGGCCAGGAAGGGCAGGACCTAAAGTGGGGACTGCAGTCCCAATTCCTCGGACCGGTTATTCAGTCTCGGCAGCAAAATAAATCCGTTGACTCTACGGACAAAAATGTCCCAATTGCAACTGCGGTACAAAACCGTGAACTTTGTGAAAGTGAACTGCAAGTCGCCAACGTTGCTGCAATCTCGCACTGGGGGGTCCCGCGGACTGCGACGAGATTGCCGTTGGGTTAAAAGAGCTTGTTCACCGTATCACAGGGCTGCGGCACGTCACCGGAAGTTCTGTTGCCTCGTTCTGAACCGCAGAACACGGCTCTGCGCAGACCTGGACATCTATTGTGCGATGGAGGTTTTACATGTTACTGTGTGTACATTTGGCTGCTATTGCGGTTTGAAAGAAACTCATCAACGCTGATTCTTTTGAACCCCGATATACGGAAACAGCGCTGCAGGTCCCCTTTAAGAAGCTGTCTTGACCTGCAAGCCTTTCGCCCCGCTTGCAACACAGCACGACAGCACACCAGTAGTCAGAGGGGTCCCGTCACATAAAACAAGTCCCAAAGCGATACAGCTTGATAAAATCATAAGAACAGTTACAGTTACCTCCTTCTGAGAGGAGGGGTGGCTATTTAACCCGAGGGCCTTGTCCAGCAGTTTCTGGAGAAACACTGTGGTTTCAGATTCAAGAACGCAGCTGGACAGCCTTTTCCGTACTCCACACATTCACGGTTTTAGTCCTTAACGATCTCTGAAGGGGTTCATTTCATAAACCGCTTTTTTAATGTGTCCTAACAGAAGGAATCTTTAGAAACGTAGGGGGATTTAATGGTGATCTACAAACCCCTCTGGATCGGGGCTCCCCTTGGCCGGGGCTGGAGACCCCCGGACTGACTGGAGCTCTGGAACAAGAGGGCTGTGAGGACGGACGGACAGTCCCCGGTCAGCAGACACTCACCCGGTTGTGTTCGTAGCGCCGCGTTCGAAGCCCGGGGGTGGTTTTCACTCGGGTCTTCACAGGTTCCAGCTTCTCCACGATGGGCTCAAGCTTCTCATCTGAACACGAGAGAGGGACAGTGAGGGAGGGGGACGCACAGAGCACCTGTGCAGACAAGGAGACTGGAGTATGCAAACACACCGAGGGGCCTTAAATACGCAACAAGTGAAAACTGCAACCAAGACCACAGATGTGTTTTCAAATTCAATGCCATTTATACTTTCATTTTAGATTTGGTTTGGGACTTGAGGGGGTCAGCAAAACCCTTCGGTGCTTATCAATAATGTTAACAGAAGCACTGCAACCGATAAAATTAAGACGGCGGTATTATGATGCACTTCAATTACGTTCTTAAAAAGCACGTGTGTGCTTTAACTTGCACTGTTTTGTTTCTTATTCTGCTTCTCTTTGGAGATGTTTTTTAATTCGGTTACATTCTGTTTTCTATCAATTCCGTATTCTGAACATTGCAAGGCTGGCTCTGTCGCACGTGCAGTTAAAGCCATCACTCTCTCATACATTGCAGAGAGAGCAGAGCAATGAAGGTATTGAGAGACAAGGCATGCACAGCAGGGAATTCTCACCCATTAAGACGAAGCCTTTCAATCTAAACGCTCCCTGAGCTACCTGGTGGAAAACCTTCATCCCTCTACAACCGTGAAGCGTCGGACACTTTAACAAACCAAGAACATTTCAGCTGGAACAAATATCCCACAGGCGCCCTGCAACACCGCTTTCTGTAAAGACCCTCCTCGGAAGCGAATTCCCCTCCAGCAGGAGATCCTGCTGAGCTCGCAGGAATCCTGAGGAAGAACCTCCGCAGTGACCACAGCCCGGCCATCGAGACCAGGAGAAACAGGCGACTGTCCAAGACATTATTCACGCCCTCCATTCTCACACAGAGAACGGATGTGTTCGGGAAGATTGCAAATACTAATAAAGACACGTTTTGACAATTTTACAGAACTTCCATCTGCTGTCACGGCCATGACGATATGTCGGAGCAGTGGCTCTGTGCCTAAGGATCTGCGCCTGTGACTGGAAGGTTGCCGGTTCAAATCCCGCGGCCGCCAGAGGAATCCTACTCCGTTGGGCCCCTGAGCAAGGCCCTTAACCCCAACTGCTCCAGGGGCGCCGTACAATAGCAGACCCTGCGCTCTGACCCCAAGCTTCTCTCCCTGTCTGTGTGTCTGTGTCTCCATGGAGAAAAAGCTGGGGTATGCGAAAAGACGAATTCCTAATGCAAGAAATTGTATAGGGCCAATAAAGAAACATTACATGTCACCTGCCCCCCCCCTCCCGAATCCCGTAGCTCTCTCGCCTCGCTCCCATCAGCCACACACGCGCCCACGCTCTCTCACCCTCCTCGTTGTCGCTGTACTTCTCCGAGTCCGTGTTGCCGTTCTGGTTGGCGTCCGCAGCTCGCAGGGGCGCCGAGGGGGGGGGCAGCGTCTCGGGGGGGCCCTGGTCCAGCAGCTTCTGGAGCTTCTTCTCGTACAGCTTCCGCGTCGAAGCTGAGGTCGCAGGAGACGAGCCGCGCGTGAGCCGCGCTCCACCCCGGTGCCCCGGCCGTAGCTGCTGTTACGTGCAACAGGTAGGCCAACCCCCCTCTCCTCCTCCCACCTGTCAGGCTCCGCATGGCCTGGCACCTCAGTCCCTGTCTGGGTTACTTTCGCCCTACTCCCCTCCTCGCAACCTTCACTCCTCTAGTCCTGGTCTCCTCTCTGTCCCCCAAGCCCGTCTGCACTCCATGGGTAATGGAGCCCCGTCTCCTGCTGCACCCCAATGCTGTGGAATTCTATCCCCCTATCAGAGCGTCACCTTGCCTGAGCACTTTCAAAGCAAGACTCCTGTCTGCACCTTTGCTTTCCTACTCCGGTACTGTAACTGTGCAATTCTGCTCTCTCCTCTCATTATGTGCTTTTTTTTCTTTTTGCAACAAAAGCACTTTGAGAAGCCACTTTTAAAGGCACTAAAAATCTTAATAATAGCAATATGATTATTATTGATGATAATGAAGTAATGAATTGTAATCACCATCAGCAACGACCGTCATATCCTTCCCTAACCTACTACTTCAGCTAGAGATTGGAACAAAGAATTGGAATTTAAATTAAGTACAATATCAGCAATGATTTCAGTCTGGTCAGGGCTCACAAGTTTCATTCTTTTAACTCGAGGAACACCAACACCTCTATTTGGTCACAAAATGATTAAAGCAAAACAAAGTTGGAATTAGTCAGCTTTTAAATAGCTGTATTTTTTTTTAATCTGGTGAATTCCAAGTTATGTGCAAGACATCTTTTTCACATAAGCAAGTCTTGTTTTGCATGTCCCTCTAAGTGCACACTAGTTGAGCTGCCTGCTCCCCCAAGCGAGGTTGACAGAACAACATGGTTTTTGGGAATCTTTCTCTCTTATTCCACTTTGAGAATTGGTTACTAAACAGAAAACAGTGTGCAGGTAAGGCACTGAGGGGTACTGCAGGGATCTCTACTAGGACCACAGCTTTTCTTACCTGATCAATGTTTGAGATTCCAGAATAATAAACTAGTTACATTTGCAGATTATACTCAATTGGCCAACTGTAGAGGCAGCAAATTTAACTCAAAAACATTTCACAACATTAAACACCATTTACACGTAAGTTGTGAAAAAGACTAAAGAAAAATGGGAAATACTGAGCTAGACGAAGCTACTTATGAGAAAGACTAAGGTGGTTATGTTGACATTGTTTATATCTGGGAAACTATGAAAAAAAGTAAATAATTTAAGATATTTAGGTAAAAACAGAACTGAAATCATGGGATATTATAAATTGTATAAAACACAAATAAGGCCTCCTTTAGAATACTTTAGAGTTTTGGTCACCATATAACAGAAAAGACATTGCTGCTCTGGAATCATTCAAAACACAGCTGGATGAGATCCTTGGATCAATTAGCTACTGCCTATCCTTTGTTCTGATATTCTGATCAGTTTTCTGTGAATTCACAGAAACCAGAAGAACAGGAAGCCCTGCTTGTGCGTGATCCTGAATCAGTATTGCAGAGGAATAAAGTGAATGAGTGCCAGCACCCAGGCTGTAAAACTGCTCATACCACTGGGACACTGGCTTCTCTAACTCCAGCTAGCACTTTCAAAACACTTGCACAACTTTCACAGCTTTTCGGATGAGCGCAAAATGTGTTCTGCCCCTTCCCAGGTCACTCAAAATATACTCCAGCTTACTTCCCAAAACTCAGCTCAACATTCGTTTGTACCAAAGACATACATTGTTACTTACAGAAACCGGGGAGCAAATCTGGCTCCAGGGCTTTGCGCTTGGCTAGCTACCAGCCTGCAACGCTCCAACATGTTTGGAATTAGGTCTTGAAAGACTCCTGCAATTGTTCTGAAAAACTGTTTTGCTGGCCTGCTGTAAACTGCTTTTTAAACCAAATGTACTTGACTGGCTCACATTCCTTAGCAACTGTGACTGCTCATTCCTAAAGGGAAATCCCTGCAAAAGCTTAACTGCATGCCTGCCTGCCTCAAAGCACAGCTCAAAAATAAAGAACGCCCTGTACTCATCTAGACATTTAAACACACTAGGCAAACCACAGTTATCATTAGATTAGGCAGAGTCCTAGAGAGAACAGCGAGGCAGTGTCTAGCAACAATTCGCTGCAGTCTTGTATTGTCTTAACTCAGAGCTCACTGGCTTTTCAGTTCGGATCTCTGAGCAGCTGATCAGGACCGGCATTTTGCTATTGTATTATCAATTCTTTATACAAAGGCTTTTCAATGCAAGCATTTGATGTCTATGCTATGCTCTGATGTAAACCACCTGCCTATGTGTGCCTATACATAGATACATGAACAAACGCTGTTCTGTAAAACGGCTACATCATTCCACATATATATACACACACTGTATATATCAGCTGTAGTGTTTTTCCCCTTTCATCCACACAAGAGCACGTCTCCAAACCTTGAGTCATGAGTCAGAATGCAGCAGGCTTCCTCGCTCATTACATCAACACCTGAAGACCTCTGAATGGTCTTCCACAGTCCAATTAGGTTCATGATGAGCTCAGTGAGGTCATTAAGAACAGAAGTAGTCCAGAACCGGAGACGTTCGAGCCGTGGTGCACATCACTAAAACCAAACTGCCACGGGGTTACCACACTCACCCATGAAGTCGCTTGTCTTGATCGAGGTCTACTGGTTCAAATGTCCTGCTCCTGGAATCTCTTAATTCCTAACCTTGTGGCCTTCATCCAATCATCACAGAGCCCTGCCTCCTCAGAGTGCACCACAGGCCCGGCTTATGCTATGCTGTACAACCAGCTTGCTCAGAGGGCAGTCTCCCTCCCACTTTTGTTTTTTAATCATGGCACTAGTAACAAATGGAAATATCATTTAATAGGAAGACAGAAAGAAGCTCTGGCCACTCGCCCGCGACGGGCGCTGGCGTTCCCCCTGTTACACGTGCTGCCTCATTACTCACCCACGATGGGCCCAACGCTGACTCCATACTTCAGCAGCTGGTCCTTCAGATCCTCATCGGTCAGGTCCGCGACGTCCACATCCTCCGGGCGGGGCTTGTCCGTCTTCTTCGTGGCTTTCTGCAGAGGGACAGCGGGTCACAGGTTTAACGCGGGGACACCACACTACCTTCCTGTGCCTGGGGAGCACAGAGCACTGCGGTCACCCACCCTATACACAAGCGTCCAACAGCATGGAACTTGCTTCACCTCTGGGGTTTTGAACGTTTTATCGCTTGCCTCTCCAGAAATGGCGGATTGCACCCTCAACATATTCCACTGTTGGGGTTCCACACTCCCAATCGGGTTCGTGTGAGAGAAAGCCACAGTGAGTTTATGTACGCATGCGTACAGGAATTGCTCGGCCATAAGAGCAGTAGCCAATTCAGAGTACCAGCTGGGACTTTCCCATTTATATAGTCAAGCAATTACACAGAAACAAGCACAGAGGAGGAAGCGTTTCCTGAGAAGTGATACCACTCCAAGGGAGTAGTTAACATATTTGTGCAATAAATTCAGCAAAGATATCGCAGAACAAAGACCGCTCATTTACAACTCCAGATATCCACTCTGCACTAGTCCTTGAACTATTTTTAAGTCCTGCGCAATCTCAGCTTCGCAAATCTTATCTGACAACTTCTGTTACTCTTCAAGCAATTTCTCTGCCCACAATATGCTCTTAACCCTTTCCTTCACTATTATGGCTCTGAGTTGTCCCCTTGCTGTCAACCCCTGCTCCACTCCACGGTTCATACACCATAACACCAACACTCAAGCCTCAGACCTCAGCCAGGCACTGAAGAACGGCACTTGACAGGGCACTGAAGTACAGTGAAGTACAGATTTGAGCAATCCGGTCTGAAACGGGTTATGCTGTGAAATGCTGAGGTACTTTTTTTTGCCAGGGCAGGAAGAGACCCAACACAAACAAAACATACCATGCGTCTCGGTTCCCTGGATGAATTATTCTGGGCAAGCATTAATCTTAATAAAAACACGAGCAGCCCTTCTGTTTGATCTAGAAGCAGCAATCAAAACCAGTCTGATCAGTGATGGGCAATCCTAGTTCCATCTTCTGTTGTGAAAATGTGCATTTTCTTTTTTAAGTCTAGCATATTCATAACATTTATCGCTTGGATCTACAGCAGGAGAACTGCAATTGACTATATGAAGAAAAATAAACATCAGCACATCTGATCTCACTTCCTGCTGATCGACTCATTACAGAGCAAAACACGCACACACACAGCATACAGTACCTCTTCTGCACAAAATCACAGTTCACAGATTGTGCTCTAAGCCAGGGGTTCGTTATCTCTGTCCTGGGGACCCCCACACTTGTTAGGGTTTGCTCCAGCTCACCACTGGTGGTTATACAGGTGAAACTCTGAATTCACCTACCAACAGGGCCATTTGAAATTGTTAATTTGCTTTCTGCTTGAACACAGCAGTGCCCTGGATTAACCTAACATCGCCAGCTCTTAAAACAGAAAAGAACAGGAGGTGTGGGACTAGTCAGTCAGCAGTGCAGAGAAGAGGTCAGGGTTTTGGACTCGTAGCCTGAAGGTTGTGGGTTCAAATCCTAGGTGTGATGTTGCAGTTGTACATTTGAGCAAGACTTGAGCTGACTCCATTTAAAAGCCCAGCTATGGTTGCGCAGGTAAGTCACTTTGGGAAGGTCTGCTCTGGTGCCCATGGACGGACTGAACTGGATATTTTGTTTGCAATAAGGTGAGGTTTATAACAAGCAGTGGGAGAGATCTTGCTGCTTTCTGACCCATGGGTAAAGAAAACCCCTCTGTGGGTTCCCTTAGTGCAGGTTGTAGACGCACCTGCATCAGTGCACAGTTAACCAGGCTGGAGCTCAAACTCGCTGGAACACAGAGTGCTGGCAACACCCCCATTCACACACAAACCCTGCAGAAAGACCAGTCCGAGTCCAAATGCACAGCTGGATCCAGATGTGTCAGGCACACCACAGGAAATACAGCAGCCTTCACAGTCGTGCCAATACACCTTCAGAACAAAGGCCTTGAATAGGTTTCAAGGGAAAAACAACTTCTTGATCTGCTGCACTGAGGGAAAAAAAAAACGTATTCGTGTCACAAGAGACTCTGATTGCACTTTTACTCCTGTAGAAACTACGCCACTGACCTGCCCTTTAATTTGACACCCATCAACAAGATGATTATTTACCTCCAGGGTGAGACAGGTCCTCCACACCCCAAAAACCAGCAGGCCAAGAGTTAACTAGGATCACAAAATGAAAATGATAAAAATACACTGAGATCAGGAGGTATGAGGCCCTGGAGCTGCTGGCTCTCGACAGCACTGGTTGTGGGATAGAGAAATCACAGCTGCAACCTCAGGAATGCTGTCAAAACGCAAGCTACGCCCCCCCCTTCAAAAATGCCACAACACTACATTAAGAAAATGAGTTATAATGAGAAGAAACACACAGAGGAACGAGATCTTCTACAGAAAAGGGGAGAATACAGAGAGGGCGCAGTGGACCTCTTCCCCAGTAAGGCTTGGGGGTTCATCTGGCAGGAGAGGGACCTGTGCTCGCCTCAGGCAGCCTCGGCCTCAGAACTCACTAACAGCAGTGGAAAAGGAGCACAAGCCTTGGAGCAGTCCCCCTCCTTGAGCCCCCTTCTTTTTGACACCTCCAAAACCTGAGGTGTGTGTATGGTGCACGCCGACAACCCAGAGAAATGAGGAAAAACTACAAAGTAAAAGACGGTCTTTAAAATACAACGGGAAATTTTTTCTCCAAGTCAATTTCCGCTCTCTTCTTCCCCATTTGTTAAACTGGACTTCCTGGGGACCTGAGACACTGCCTCGGGTCTGAACTGTTATCTGGATCCACATCTGGCCTGCAGTGCTGCCCAGGACAGTAACAGGCTGTCTGCAGCACAGCTGTGACTGTTCGTACAGATCACAGCACCACAGAAAGCTCAGTTGCACATTACAATCCCTTAAGACTCAGAATATGTAACAGTGAGCAGAAAACCAATCAAAAACTGAGCTACACCTGAATATGGGCAGGAAATGATGTCTAGATGTGTGGACCTAAACTCTAAAACAGGACTCTCCCCAATTCTCAACATTGCAGAAATGGTGGATCCCACAAAATAAGCCTTCTGTCACGATTTCCAGGAGTCTGCCAGGACTGCACCGGAGAAAACTGCGCTACTGAGAGCAGGACCTCTCTTTGCTTTTCAGGTTTATGTGCAGGAAGGCTTACATCTGTCACTCTGACACACACATGGTTAGTCCCACTGCTAACGCCAAGTTAAAAGGTTATACTGCACCTGAGAGACTAATGAGAAACACTTTTCATTATACTATGCACCTGTGTAAGCATAATGACAAGTAAAGTGGAACTTAAAATTGAATTGAAAAGGTTGATCTTTTGACAAATGAACAAGATGCACTCATCTGTCTCTTGATTCTAATAGCAACTCGTGCACAACTGAGATGCTGATGCGCTTTCACTGAAGACAGCAAGCAAGACTTGGAGAGAGACCCGATTCCATAAAGAAACCACCAGCTGACTGAAAGTAGCACTGAGAGTTGGGACCTATTTTAACTCCAAAAGTTCTCAAGTACAGAGATATGGTTGATGAAATGGTACAGCCTAGCTTTTAGGCAATTCAGTTTGAAAAGGGCACCAGACAGCTGATCTACAAACAAACCTTTGCAAAAATGCCAGTGCTTTTTTTATATATAAGGCAGGTCTCATTGCAGATCATTTGACCAGTTCCATTCAAAAAGCACCAGCATCAGATTTACTCCAATTTGTACATAGTTACTGAAAAGGTCCAAACACTCTACTGTGGGTCTGCGGATGTTTTCTGCTACCAAGCCCCACTTCTGGTCATTATCTTAGCAGGGACCTGCTCGAGAATCCAACACGGCACAACCAAATAACTACAATCCACCCGATACCAGGAACTAGCAGAGGCGACTGCAGAAGTAACAGACGCCTTTCTTCACTGGTCTTTCACTTCCAGTGAAGTTCTCTGCATTCCAGGGATTCTCCTTCTGTAATAAAGAGACACACCGCCTGGCAGAGCGAGGAATCCAGCACCCCCCAGACAAGGACGACGACGACAGAGTCTGAGGCTCCAGAACATGAGGGGAGACCCGCCAGACAAGCGGCTCTTTCAGGTAGGCTCTAGGAGGGGGGCACCCTGCGCCCGGCTTCATCAGAACTTTACACAGGCGTCACCTTGGAGAACAGAAACAGAACAGAAAACAAATGCCAACCAACGAGCCAACCACTCCCCTGCGGAGAAAAACGCAGACCCATTGCTTCCTCATTCTCGGGGATCACAGTGTTGGATCGAGGCTGCTTCACAAGTCCCAACGCAGGACCGGAGAGAGAGCCTGTGAGGACAGCACGCGTCGCCACCTGCTGCTGCAGCAGCTGCCTGGCAGCTTGGTGGCGAGGTCAGTTTCTGGATCAGGCCTCTTCGGGCATGTCTTGCAAAGCCCATTCGCTTCTTCCAGCTGATCCAGAGCCTTCCCAGCTACTCCATGTTACCGGGAGAACGGACAGGGGGTCAGCAGAGGTCACAAGAACAATCTGGACTCATCTGCCGTCCCTAATTTAATAAAGAAACCTAAAAAGCACCTCTACAATCTGGCCTAATGCTCTTGAGACTTGTTGCTGTTTGTGTCCTGCAACACTACTGACAGCCTTTACAAGACTGGAGTTGACCACCATCAGAAATGTGAGCAGAAATGAACAAAGGGGACCCCCCCCCCTCCCTCCCCAAGATTCCTCAGGGTGCCCCAAAGTGACTGAATTGGCACCTGACTTTTCCGGCCTTCCAGCGTGCTGCTCCTCTTCAAAGAGCTCCACCGAGTCCAATTCAGATTCGGCATAAGTGCATGTCTGCTGTCACAGCTTTAGGTGACTGAGACGTGTCTCTAAGATTTCAGATCAAGTCTGTGACACTGGGAAGGGTGAACACTTCTAACTTTAAAACAGAGAGGATGTCTGCTGAGGTCTGGGGGGGTCCCTTGAGCAGAAACAATGGTAAAGTTACCTCAGTATGCCTAGGGCAGTTGTGGATTCATGATTGGAAAAGAGCAGGACAGAAACAGACCCTATAAGATGACATGGAGGAAAAAAAAGAAGGGAGGAGGAAGAAGGAAGAAACAAGGAGAGCAGGGAGAGGAGAGAGGAGTCCAGAGGAGTTGGGACTTGAAGCTTGTGCCAGGCGAGAGCTCCTACTTCTTCATCATCCAAACCAAACCTGACTGGAGCTGAGTACTCAAACCTTGTTGGAGAGAGCGTGCTTTTTTTGTGTTTTCAGGGACCTTACGTTTCCAGAGTAAACGATACCTCAGTTAGATATG